GGAGGGGGGGGGGGGGAGACTGCCGCAGCTCCAGCCCCACACACTCACTATGCGTGACCATTTCCTGTCGTCGTGTGTCCTGTCTTCCGAGCCGGGGCGGCACTGGAAGAGAATGAGGGAGAGAGAGGGAGAGAGCAGAGAGGGGGGGGTTCGCAGGCGCTCGAGCGCGAGTGGATACCTTTGGAAGGTCTCTGATGTCGCGATCGGATCCCGCTTCCCGGTGGTTTTGGTATCGTATTTGCGCTCCGCACCTATTTTTTGGTACCGTTGGTTTCCCCTCCGCTTTCGCCTTTCGGAGATTTAAGGAGACGCGGGAGACCCGCGGTGGCCGCCCGGTGCGGTCGCAGCGCTGCAGAGTTGCAGCACCACGACCGCACGATCGACTGAGCGCATCGGCATGCGCGAGAGGAGGGTGTGCGGGTGCATGCCCAACCGTGAGGGCTGGCTGAAGCGCCGCTCGGGGGCGGCCGCCATCATGCGACTTTGAGAGAAGCGGCCCCTCGTTCACACAAAAACACAACCCCACGGACCCAAGACGCACAAGCTCAGACAGTCGAGAAAGGGATCGACAGCAACGACCTCACACAAAAACACAACCCCGGCCCCAAGACGCACAAGCTCAGACAGTCGCCTCGTTCACACAAAAACACAACCCCGGCCCCGAGACGCGCACAAGCTCAGACAGTCGAGAAAGGGATAGACAGCAACGACAGTCAGAAGTCAGCGCTGGGTCCCAGCCAGGGCGAATGCGATGACGGCCTCTAGTGTGGCCTCGTTCACACAACCCTCAAGAACCACCTTAAGCGTTTAAGACCGTTTAAGGAATTGGCGGCCCAGCAAGCAGCTCTTAAAACCTGCCCGGGCAGGTTTTAAGCCGTTTAAGCCGCAGGCGCCCCAGGGCCCACCCTTTTAAGCCTAGGGGTCCCCTAAGCCAACTACTTAGGGTTAAGGTCATTCACGGGTGTCCGCGGCCCACTGTGTCCGCTGGTAGGACAGTGATCGCCGCAAACCCTGTGGTCAGCTCCATATGATCTCGGATATTTTTTGTAGGCACCGGAACGCCGAAAAACTACGAGTAGTATGTCTTCGAGTGAAAAGTAATCCGAGCAAACCCGCGGCCGCAATGAATTAAAAGGAGACGATTTCGAGGGGGAATCTGGAGAATCTGGTTAGTGCCAGTGCGCGCCAGTCCCGTGCCCAGTGTCGTGCTAGTTAGTTAGGAGTCGTGCGAGGAAGTTCGCTTGTAAAATTCTTCTCGAGCGTGACAGTCAATCAGCCGCGGTTGAGCGGGGGAGCCGCTGTTGAGCAGAGCCGCTGTTGAGCAGAGCCGCTGTTGAGCGCTGTTGAGCACATCGCTGAAGCCTCTGTGGAGGCCACCGACGCCCAAGGAGTAGTACGTGATGCCGAACAGCGCCGCTACCGCCACCTCCGCGGAGGAGTACCTGTCCTGCTGGCGCGGCCCGCTCGAGCAACGCCTTCGCATGGCGGTCGGCAAGGCGCTGGCCGAGCAGCCAAAGGACCCGTGCACTGCCGTCGCACTCGCTCTTGCGCGGGGCCAGCCTCGAGGAGAGAGCGGCCGCTCTCTCCGCCGCGCAAGCAGAGCAGGAGGACGGTCCTCAGGACGACTTTGCAGGTCCTTTCCAGCGCCGCTGCCTCCGCCACCCGCCACCACCGCCTCTGCCACCACCGCCGCCCCATGCGCTCTGTCACCCACGCACCGCCCCCGCCTGTCTCAGCAACATCTCCCATTCCACCACCATCCCTCATGCGCGACTCGGCCACCGTCCGCATCCCGATGCCTACTCACGGTCGCGCTCTCCTCGGTGCAGGACACGCTCAAGTGGGTGGCACCGCCTCCAAGAACAACGAGACGGAGCTGCGCAAGCTCAGGGACGAGAACAAGCTGCTCAAGGAGGAGATCCAGTCGCTCAATAACCAGTCGCTTAAGCAGGACGAGAAGCCGTCGCTCGAGGACCAGCTCAGCAACGTCAGCACGCCGAGTGCCACCACTTCGCGCGACGGCAAGGCCGACGCATTCCCCGCACCGCCGGCTTCGCGCCACCGCGCCACCGCCCCCACCCACGCACCGCCGCCGCGTCCGCCGCCGCCTCCCTCTCCTCCGCCGCCGCCTCCCTATGCATATCCCTCTCTCCACCGCCGTCTCCCTCTCTCTCCCTCTCTCCACCGCCGCCTCCCTCTCCTCCGCCGCCGTGTCTGCGTCTGCCTCCCTCTTTTCTTGCCGCCACGCCACCCTCTCCACCTCCGTGTGAATCCCCTCCCTCTGTCCGCTCCTCTCAGGCCGACGCGGAGCCCGCCGCGGAGTGGGGCGTCGCCGGCTGGGTGAACTCCCTCGCCCTCGCCGAGGTGGTGGCCGAGGCGCTGAAGGAGCCGCCCGGCACCGCCGACCCGTTCAAGTACGTATGCAACCTCTCGCTCGCCGACCTCAAGGAGAAGCTCGAGGCGGTAAAGCTGAGTGAGGCGATCGCCGAGACCCTCTGGTCCGCCATTGAGAAGCTGCGCGGCCAGAGCGCCGCGACCGGGGCGGCGCTGAACGCCAAGTTCGCCGCGGAGGGCGACGCGTTCAAGGGCGAGATGGGCTTCGGCGGCGTCGAGCAGTTCTACGGAGGCGTGCTGCACGCCAGCAGCTGGCCTACCCTGCCCGCCCTCTCTCACCGGCCGCCCCCCCTCCCCTGACCGGTGAGGCCTCGAGAAGATCATCGGGCCGCCGCTTATGGTGGAGGGCTCGCTCCTCAAGGCCATGGAGACGGAGCACTGCAAAGAGAAGGATGCGGAAGTGCCGTTCGACACCTCCAACGGCATCGAGGGCGCAACGTCCAAGCTCGAGTGGGAGTTTGTCGTCGCGCCGGTCGAGGACCAGGACGACCGCTACGCGGAGCGCGGCGGCGACTTCCGCACGGCTCACCGCGAGTGGTGCCGCAAGCCGGAGCCGCTCTCTGTCTACGAGAAGAAGATGGCGGACGAGATGAACCCGAAGCTCGTTGAGGCGGGGCAGGCGCCGCTCACCAAGGAGGAGCTCGTCGCCGGCCGGATGTACACGGGGCCGATGTACGAGAAGTACAACGGCGTCCTCCGCTTCTCCTCAGCGCGCGGTGCCGACGGCGCGGTGCGGCTGGAGTACGCCTCGATGGAGCAGGTGCCCTTTCTGCAGAAGAAGTGCGGCTGGCTTCACCTCGGCGAGTGGGCTGCGACGGCGGCAGGCGAGCGCTCGGGCGCGGTGCGCTGGACGTGGAACAACCAGTACTCGACCACCATCCACGCGATCAACTCGATCATCGTCAAGCTGTCGCCGCTGACCATGCGCCGTACGAAGAGATTTCTCGAGATACAGAAGCGCCACACCAGAGTTCCGACTTTTTGCGGGCTATGGCATGGTCCCTCGCGGACCAAAGGGTGGGGGGGTATGGGGGCGTCATCGCGGACGAGCCGGAGGAGCACTCCCTCTTCGCCGAGTTCGGGATGTACTACAAGTCCCCCGAGATTGCGTCGCTGGCGCAGCCGGCCAACCCGCTCGAGGCGACCACCGGCGAGGCGACCACCGGAGCGGGCGCGGCACCCACCGGAGGTGCACCCGCCGGCACGGCGATGCCCATTGAGGACCTCGCCGGTGCGGTGGCCCGCGGGGCGGCCGGCGCGGCGGCCACCGGAGTCGCCCGCACGGGGACGGCCAGCGCGGCGCCTGCTGGTGCGGGGTGCGGCGACCGGCGCGGGTGCCGCGCCCGCCGCTCGCCAGGCGATTGCCAACTTCGCCGCCGCGCTCTAGAAGAGCACCGGCCGGTGCTGGCGTGGAAGACGGCGGCCATCCGCGCGTATATCTAGTGTGCGTGTCCTAAGTGTTGGTGTCTGCAGCCTCCTGGAGCCTAGCAGTAAGGCGGCCGGCGGTGGGGCGAGGGAGGGGGGGGGGGGTCTGGTCCCGTCGGCGGGAGGCTGGGTCTGTCAGCAGGCGGGGGGGTATGGTCTCGAGGTGGGTCGCGCGCAACCACCCCATCCCCGCAAAAAGTCCGAACCCAGTGCCTGTTTCCTTCGTCCCTCCTCCGCCGCCTCCTCCGCTTCGCGGGACGGTCTTCGCGGGCCACAATAAACATGCCAAACCCTCCAGCCGGCCTCGCAGAGTGCGATATGCCGCAGGACCGCTTTTGTCGCCCGCCGCAGCCGGGCCAGTTTCGCGGCACCTTCTCGGTCACCTCGATGGGTGGCGTCGGCTCGACGTTCCTGCTTGAGTGGTTTCGCGGGCTCGAGCAGGCGTACCAGGAGAGTGCGGACTGCAGAGACGGGCTGAGGCGCGAGAAGCCGCTCGTCAGCCGCCCGTGCGGCTGCGCGCCCCTCTCCGACGGCGGCCCGGCGCGCCACCTGCTGTCATGCCACGTCGACGACGACGGAGTCTTCAAGCACCTGGCCGACCCGAGCGCTCTGAACCGGTTTCCTGACCATAAGGCCATCTTCCTCGTGGGCTCGCCGATCGAGGCGGTCGCCTCCGTCTTCCGCCGCAAGTTCCAGTGCTGGCACCTCTACCGCCTCAACGACTGCTGGTTCACGCGAAAGCAACGCGAGGGCCTCATCCCATGCAACCAGTCAGGCGTGGTCGCCTTTCGGCAGCAGTTCGGCGCCGCAGCCTCCTCGTGCGCCACCCACCCCCCCTCCCCCGTCCGTCGCGCCCCGCCCGCCCTCCTCGCGCCACCCGCGCCACCCCAGCTTCCGTGTCCCTCGCCCCACCGCCTGCCCCAGCTGCCGCGTGCCGACTGCGGGGCCTCTCGCGTCGCTCGATGCCTTTGCCTCCAACGGTGAGACCCCCCGCCCGGGGAGGGCCGGCCGCCGCCGATAGAGTCGACTTGCCGCCGCTCGCGCCAGCAGCGTCTTCAATGTCGCGTGCTCTGCGGTTGTC